GGACGCTCAGAGAAGGACAGCTTGTGGGTCGCCATGCTCGCCAGCGGGAGAGAGTACCGCCAGGCAGGCGGAGGAGGAGCGAAGGCCGCCAGGCAGCGGCGGAGGAGGTGTTGCTGGCTGGTTGGTGTATGTAGAAGGAGAGGCAGATCACCACGAGGTCAGGTCTTAAATAGCGGGGGTAGGCGTGGCATAGCAGTTGACCCCCGCTCCGTGGTGTATGGCGGCGCTGGTTGACCTAGACCACGAGGCATACACTGGGGAATTGGTGGGGTCGGCTAGGCAGCGACAAACAGCGTTTGTAGGGGAGAATTCCACTACAGTATCGCCATTCAGGACCGGGGTAATGTACAGAGGTAAGTCCACCACGCTGACGGAGGTTCCAAAATCAATTGCTCGGCTACACCACTGAATAAAAGATGTGTATTTACCGAAACACCTTGAAGGAATAGCTTCAAGTACAGTACCTACCATATAGTTTTAAACCAGTCACCTAACTTTATACCAGTCGACTAACTTTATACCAACCACGTAACTTTATACCAGTCATGTAACTTTATACCAGCCACGTAACTTTATACCAGTCACCTAACTTTATACCAGTCACCTAACTTTATACCAGCCACGTAACTTTATACCAGTCACGTACTGTAACTTTATACCAGTCACGTAACTTTATACCAGTCACGTACTGTCTTTATACCAGTCACGTAACTTTATACCAATTACATAACTTTATACCAGTCACGTAGCTTTATACCAGCCACGTAACTTTATACCAATTACATAACTTTATACCAGTCACGTAACTTTATACCAGTCACGTAACTTTATACCAGTCACGTAGCTTTATACCAGCCACGTAACTTTATACCAATTACATAACTTTATACCAGTCACGTAACTTTGTACCAGTCACGTAACTTTATGCCAACCACGTAACTTTATACTAGCCACGTAACTTTATACCAGCCACGTAACTTTATACCAGTCACGTAACTTTATACCAACCACGTAACTTTATACCAACCACGTAACTTTATACCAGCCACGTAACTTTATACGCTATGTGGGACGGAATGTAAAATGAAATAATAAAAATCAATAAAAATCAATATCGTGCATCAGGGGTTTATTATCATTAACTATCTGTCCATAATGATGATAAAAAATAAACCAGATTGAACTGCTCTATAAACAACTGATAAGGGAGTAAGGATTTTTTTTTAGGAATAAAATTAATAGTGAATTATAGTCTGTGTGAAATCTTACTACACCATCGGACAAACAAGTCAAATATAGTTATGGGCTCGGACGATAAGTTATGAGCTCGGACGATTAAGTTATGAGCTCGAACGATAAGTTATGAGCTCGGACGATAAGTTATGCTCGGACGATCGACGACGTTATGAGCTCGGACGAGCTCGGACGTTGGACGATAAGTTATGTGCTCGGACGATAAGTTATGACGCTCGGACGATAAGAGACGAGCCCGACGATGAGTTATGAGCTCGGACGATAATGAGCTCGGACGATAAGTTATGAGCTCGGACGATAAGTTATGACGACGACGACGATAAGTTATTATGAGCTCCGGACGATAAGTTATGTGCTCGGACGATAAGTTATGAGCTCGGACGATAAGTTATGCTCGGACGATGAGCTCGGACGATAAGTTATGTTATGAGAGCTCGGACGATAAGTTATGAGCTCGGACGATCGCTCGGACGATAAGTTATGAGCTCGGACGATAAGTTAGCTCGGACGATAAGTTATGCTCGGACGATAAGTTATGGACGAGGAGCTCCGGACGATAAGTTATGCTCGGACGATAAGCGGACGATGCTCGACGATAAGTTAGACGCCTCGGACGAAGTTAACGATAAGTTATGTGCTCGGACGACTCGGACGATAAGTTATGCGCTCGGACGATAAGTTATGAGCTCGGACGATAAGTTACGAGCTCGGACGATAAGTTATGACCTCGGACGATAAGTTATGAGCTCGGACGACAAGTTATGAGCTCAGACGAAAAGTTATGAGCTCGGTCGAAAAGTTATGAGCTCGATCAAAATGTTATGACCTTGGACGAAAATTTAGCTCGGACGAAAAGTTATAAGCTCGAAAGAAGTTAGTTACCAGCCTGGGTGAGGTTAGTAGCCACAGTTTTGCGCCTTGGGAGGATTATACTGTTCAGCGTTTGGAAAAAAAAATACCATGTCACAAAATCTCGTTGGTCAAAACTCCATACAACACTCTCCTATCAATTTAAAAATCCCCCAAAGAAAATCCAGTAAACACAATACAATAAAATAAAGAAACAAAATATAACAAGACCACAAAAACAAATCACTGGATAAACTCCCCAACGCATAATCTCTCGTCGGACAAAAATCCTACCATATAAAATCCTGCCCGATTAAAAATTTTAATAAATAAATAAATAAATCGGACATCTTAATACCAAGTGATTACCTCTGGACCTCTGATCCACTGGTCACACGACATGTTTCACCGAATATATTCCAAGTCCAGAAACACCAGCTCCCCCGTCAGACAGATGTGAATTCTACCGGAAGCAATTGAACCAACCCATCGTCTAGCATCTAACACTGTCATGTGGTAGTGTCATATGGTCTGTGTCACTGTCATCTGGTAAAATTCACATTACGCTACATGGGTTATATTTTGCCAGCTGGTGGACGGTATACGGTAATTTTGAAGCTCCTACAGACAGTTTTCCTGATTGTTTAAGATTTATTGTATACTTATATCACTGATTGTAATGGAGTCACTAGTGAAAAAATTACAAAATCTTAAATTTATGCATTTAAATTTAACTAATGTACACAATATATTGACTAACAGACAGTAATAATGATACTACAAAGTCTGTACATATTTAATATAATCCAAGACAATTGTGATTACTTTATTTTCAACTGTTTTGGATCACATAATTGTGTACATCTTGTAACAATACTGTAGCATTATTATTCTTAAGTAATAAAGCGGATTAACGGAGCCTATTTACATAATTGTGACATATTCATGTGATAATGAAGCTATTTCATTACTTGCTTGTAAAGGTTAAAGTACCCGATCTGGTGTGTTTTGCTGTATGGCAGAGTTGTCACATGTTAAATGCCCGACGGCAGATGTAAATGCTGGTGTCGTAAGCTGGTAGAGTTTTGCTTAATTAAGAAGTATTTAATCAAATTTTCTTCTCCCAAGGTTTTGTCCAGGATGGGAAAATGTCTGGCAGGAATTTCACCAGTGGAATTTCTCCATACACAATCTAATCGTTACGGTCTAACTAATTTTGCACAAAATGGCAGCCACACATTTTACGTTAGACGGTAACGGAACATTTTGCGCGGGAAAGTAGCTTTACCTGACATGTATAATCACATAAGTAAACAATAAGTCATCATGGTGGTAGGGGGACCTATCATTTCGCATGAACCTCGCCCGAGGATAAAGTACAATACTCACCAATAGCTGGATATGAGAGTAGCGTAAGTGAGAGTGCGTGTGGCCCGCCCTGACCATATGTCTCAAAGCCTGGCACATTAACTTTCTCTCACCTTAGAAATGAGAACGTACTGTACCGAACTGGAGAAGATAAGGCCAAAATAAAAACGAAATTTCGCATCAACTTTATATCCAACCACCCAACTTAATTTACCTTAAGATTAACCAACCTACCTTATCTTACCCTTCCGGTGAAATAAACTGTCAGGGTCGAATCTATTGTAACTACGATGTGTTTACCTTAACATAAATTAAAAGCGTGAATTTGTAACTAGGAATCATGATAAAGCTATGATGAGGAATTAGTAAAGGTAAGAAATCCTAAGTTAGTTTTTCATAGGTGCGATAACAGCGGCGGACAGAGGAAAATATCGTGTACACTTGAAATAATCCTGAGAATAATTAATAACACCCAAGGCCTCCCAATTCTGAATATTTTTTTTTTCCGAATTACCTGAAGATTAAGAATCCTAAAGGTACGTGGAAAGGTTAGGTAACTTAGGTTATGGTAGTTAATCTTCATGTGAAATAAGCAACGTGCTTAATCTTCGGGTTATCCACTTTTCATTTTAATGGAGATAATTTATTAGCCCTTTGTGTGAGGTGATCACTGCGCTGAATAAACTCGTCTGGCGAAGAAACTGACCTTGAATATCATTATCAATAATTGCACATGCATTATACCTCACTAGTTTATTCAAGGTAAAGAACAAAAATTAATGTCCAAATATAACACTAGATTTACAATGAGACATTACCTCATGAAGATTCGTTCACTTAACACCAGGTAGTAGACATTAACGTATAGAATATTCCTATAGATTTTGTACCTCAATTTTGTGTTCTTATGGTGTTAATTTAACGTATTTAGTTAAGGTAATATAAGTGTGGTTTTAATGTTATACTCGTACGATATGTGTGTTTTAACTTACATCAACCAGTTACGCGAGTTAATACACCTTCAGTGACGAGGAATACTCATAGCACGAGTCTTTCGAGTGTGGGCCTTGAAACGGTGGTCAATTACTGCTAGGTTTTGTGAGGTGTTGGGGGCCAGCGGTGTTTAGATTAGCAAATGAGGGAAATAATAGCGCAGCTGAAATTTCAAGAACGAGAAGGAAGGACATCACTGGTAGTTTCCGGTAATTGCCCACCCATTATTGATTGGGTCGTGCGGGAGAAGAGTCCGGAACGATATCCAACAATTTTCGGTCATTTTTTTTATTTTATACCGCCTGAAATTATTTCTAATCTACCTTAACTTATTTAGTTTCTTCTATATTTAAATTCTATGCATAAACTTACATTAGTCTCGCTGTGCTTAGGTAGATTTTTTGTTGTGAAACAGCCTGAAAAGACATAAGGATAGAAAGCCCGAGTGTGGTGAAGCGGCGTGACTCCCACCTGGCCACGCGAGCTTCCCTATAGGGTAACTTTCCTCCACCACGGCCGTTTGTTGCAGAACTGACTATATAAACCAGGGACTCATAGCCGCTACACATCACTTCTTCGTCCTCTCTCCATCAATACGCATCTACTATAATGGTTTTCCTGAAGGTAGGACCAACTTACTAGCATTTGCTTGAGTGAAATGATTTTATCCCTTTCTAACCTATCTTAACAATTATTACCAATCGTTCATTAACTTGAAAAGACGAATATACATACACATAAACTTGACTTTCAATACTGGAAATTCAATATATATCTCGAAAATGTTTACGAGTGTATACCAGTTGTCGACACCACCATCCATTATACACAAGCTGGTGGGGACAGTTGCAACGGCATATAAATATTCAGTATATGCGAGTTTAGCTTCAGTTTAATCGATCACAACTGTGGGTGATGACGTAACGTTTCGGCAACCAGGGGTGTTAAAATCAGCCAGTCCCCAAAAATCAATACAGGGTCCGTGAAGTGTGGTGGTGGTTGAAACAGTGAAATTATTGAGGATATGGCTACCGATTCTGGTCCGGCTGTTAAATTTCTACTTCATGTCAGAGTTGAGTTTTCAGTCTTTATGATAGCACGGATCAACTAGCTTTAACTATATACTAGCACTAATTAATCTTAATCCCATATGCTGTACAGTACTAGCAATCTTTAAATCGAAAATTTACTAATTTTTTAATTACTGTAATTCTACCCCGTAACTAATGTTTACTAAATAATATGTTCACTCTAGTACCGTTTTGGAAATAAAGTTATTTACTGTAGCTTTAGTCAGCCAGTTAAATGTGTTCTTACATCTAGTGTGAGAAATTTCATCGTTCAACCCTTTGTAAACCCGTCTCTTGGCTGGATTATTTTGAATTTTGTCTGACATTTCGGTCAACTGCGCCTGCGTAGACTAAATGGGTCTCCGGCGCGTGCGACTTAAGAAGACCGTTTATTTTGTTCCCAGGGTTAGCACACCCGCTAGCGGAAATGGCCCACCATTACATCTGGATTGGTAGAGCGAGCGTAGCAATCTGCACTATAGATAAAACGAAGTGAACACGCTCCTACAGTGTTGGTTGTGAACAACTAAGCAGAATTAGTTCATTTAGGAGTTGGACCATTATTTATGGCCTCAACACCTCATACCTTCGTTGGTTGAAATCGTATAACTCCGCCTGCAGCTATAAACGTCACTTGTTACTGACCGACTGACTTGTTCACTGACACTGGCACATACAATATATATTTATGCTACACTAATGAAGAATATTTGATTTTTTTTTGTTACGATACGTTGTCGTTACCACACACCTTAAACTGAAATACAATAACAAGAACTTCTTAAACTGAAAGAAAATCTATCAACTTCAAATATTTAAACTCACAGCTCTACTGTATATATGGTTGCCAATAACAACATAACTCCCTCACTGGCAAGGAATAATTTATACTTACACTCGCCTGGTATAACACTACAGGGTGACTTGACGTTTCTGTGCACTAAACTATTCATAGTATCTCCATAAGTTTATTATAGAATTATATAGTTATCCTCGGCCAAGAAATACATAATCGAGACCAGATGTTATTATGTAAAGTATTATTATGTTTTCACAACCAAGATCTTTAAGCGGCGCGTAATCAAACCTAGTAGCTACGCGCGTCACTAACAGTTAAAAATTTATGTGTCAGATCAGGGGTTCACCGTTGACAAGTTATTGTTTTATTGGACGTACTGTGTGTGTGTGTGTGTGTGTGTGTGTGTGTGTGTGTGTGTGTGTGTGTGTGTGTGTGTGTACGTGTGTGTGATACGCTCGTGTGACATCTAGACCCCAAAATTAGTTTTAGTCCAACTTTGAGTCCCAGAAACAGTTTTCCGTTTAATTCTCTGCATTCTTTTATTGCATTATGACATGTCTTAAACCGTCTCTGCTTTCTAATTTATTATACTTATACAGTATCAGTATTCACCACCTAACTGTAGTTGACTTTATCTGCTCTCCCTCAAAGTTTCTTCCTCTATTTCCATTTTCTCTACATCAAATTATCTGACTGTCACTCCACTAGGTTATTGCTGCGTTGGCGTGTGTGGGCGTGGTGTGGGGGCGCGCTGACCAACTCCTAGCACCTGGCTACGCTTACCCAGCACCACCCTCCCCGCACTACCATCACCCTGCCCCAGCCTACCCCACCCATGAGGTAAGTAGCCAACCCATCCTCCTCCTATACATCCATCTACTTTTTTTTCGTCTCAACTTATGTCCTTCTATTCCCTTTCCCTCTATTTATCCTCTTCATGCACCTGTTATCTCAGCATTCGTTATTCTCCTACGCCTATTTCAGTTTATCATCATTACACTTCTTCCTCTGCGCCTGCACGAGTAACCTGCCTTTCGCGTCCTTCTTCTCTGCCCCCTCCTTCAACACAAGTTCCTCTCTCATTCCCCCTCATCTTCCTCTCCCCCCTGCTGCTCTAGTAGAAGGGAATGACGTACAAGTCCTCACTCTATCCACAACTAATTTTCGTCTATACTTCTTCCCCTTCGTCATCTTTTGCCCCACCTCCTCCACTTCTCTTCTTCCTTTTTCTCCTCCTCTTCTCCGAAACTATTCCTCCCCTCTCATCATTATCTTCCCCAACCTCTTTCTCCTCTCCCAATACCATTCTCATCCTCCTCCTTCCTCCCCCACCCTCTTCCTCCTCCTCCATCTCCTCACCCTCTTTCTTTTTCTCCTTCTCCATCTCTTCCTCCTCTTCCTCATCCTCCTCCTCCTCTTACAGAACAAGGGGATGCCATACGACTTCGCTTATGGAGTGAAGGACGACTACACCGGCAACAACTACGGCCACAACGAGAACTCTGACGGAAACACCGTGACCGGCGAGTACAGCGTCCTGCTGCCCGACGGTCGCACCCAGATCGTCACCTACACCGCTGACCACCACACAGGCTACGTCGCCAAGGTACTCCATCCACCATTACTTTACACACAAGTCATTTCAGATAACTTCACCCACTACAAAACCACTTTAATCAGGTTTTCACTTACAAGTACTTATAATTACAAGATATCAACTACAAAAAGTCACTGTACACTTTAAACAATGTCTGATCGCTGTACCTAACAAATAATGAGGTACGATGCTGACTCTACCTAGTAATCTACCCATAATCCTGTCGTTTAAAATCAGTACATCCACATGAAGACAAAAACATCTGGATATTTATACATATTATGGGTAAAATCACAATAAACTTACGGATGTCTTGGATAAATAGACATTAATGATGGAAATATCAGAACTAAAAAATCTTGTGGCATCAAATATTTAATATGTAGATGGTGTTTTTTTAAAGATATTAAAGAGGCACTACTGAAACTGGTTAACGATTCAAAATAAAAAAAGGCGAATCATATGATCTTGGAGTTAAGATAAGAGTAGTATTTACTTTCCAAATTAAAAATGAATAGTAAAAATAAATTGATAATAGGTAACAGAGAACATAAAACAGATGGAAAAGTTTGTGTATATAATAATTATGAAAGTAAAAAAACAAAAACAGGTCTCGCCAAAACGGTACCTCATATTCGTCAACCTGTTTAATAAACGATATATTAATTCTAGGTTGGAGAAAACACTGCTGAAATGCTACGTATGGTCACTTGGTTAGTAATGTTGTATGGAACATAAGACTGGAATACACATAGCAAATAGGAGATATTAATGGGTATAATAGAAAATACGAGGGTCAGGCAAAGACAGAGACCGGGGTGGTTGAATTCAATTAATAAACGAGTTCCCTTAACACAAAATCTGGGAGGATCGATAATATACAACAGCCCGAAAACATTTGTAGTGAGCCATGGCCGCCAACCCCCAGACCTTATAATAACACCTTGATTGAGGGAACATATCAGTGCATTATGTAAAACTACCGGAATAATAATAAAACAATACACCTATAACTTCGATAATGTTAAGAAATGTATAGGTAAAGGCTTGGTCATATGTTGACAGAAAATGAGTGGTTGTGGCCCACGTAGGGTAGAGCAGGAGTGAGTTTCGTTGCGTCAGATAATGCGTAGAATTTCGTCATAGACCACCAGTACGGCAAGACTCTTGGCCACAACGACCACTAAACTCTGTTGCTGCTCACCCTTGTTACCTAGTACACACAACAGCAGCAAAAACTGAGGAAATAAAATAGATAGGATATTGTTCGTGCATGTATGTGTGTGTATTACGACTTATCACCAACCATGATTTTCAGGTAAGCTTCGAGGGAGAGGCCACCTACCCAGCGCTCGCACCCTACCCTCTCTACGGTGCTCCCTAGGCTAAATGCTCACACGACTGCCACCACGCCCACTGGAAGATGGTCCTGCCCACACCAACACGCCTACACCCAGCGCCACCTTCTCAGAATGCTCAGACCACTCACAAACTCACCAACATCTGCCCAGGACGCACACACTAACACCACTACCACGCCCACCAACTCCAGACTAGACCGCCTACACATTAGCACCACCCATACCGCCACCAAACATTATAAGCGCCCTACTTCAATATTCAGCCGGAAATTTGCTCTCTCCCTTTTAGTTCATACTTCTAAACACATCACAATCTCCCCAATTACTTCCCAAACTCATCTCCGTATTTTTCTACCACCCAACCAACACCTTTCTCCCCAATTTTGCCCTCTTCTAAACTCCCCATATTCATATTCCCACTAACTTTCCCACCACCCCCCTTATCTAACCCCTAATAACCTCCCTAAACGCATATTCCCATTAACTTTCCCCACACTTACCTCCCCACTAATCTCCCAAAACATCCCAACTCACTTTCTCTCCCACCCTCCACACATCAAATTCCCAAGGGCCATCACACATACACTAACAACTAAAGCCATATTACCTTAATATCTTTATTCTCGAGAAAGTTACCAGTTTCACACTCTTGAACTGTTAAACATAGAATAAACATATATATTTACTAGAGAGGAAACCGTTTGTATCAGTCATTGCCTAAAATATTGTATATGCCTGAATATGAATGTTATATAACTACAGTATATTTCTTCAATGTAAATGCAGTACTTTCTCTATCTCTGGATATTAAAAAATAACAGCATGAAATTACACCTTTTTTTTTCTTAAACCCTGTAATTCAGCCTATATACAGTATAATACAGTACTGCAATAGCTATTTTCTTCATTTACAATATTCAGGGATCAGCGATAGGGTTATGGTTATTTTACTAATGTTAATATTTCACTTCTTCCTGCAGTATTAAACTTGTCTTTACAAACTCAATATATGATAGTTTGACTCCTGTTTTGTTATCATAAATTTAGTGTCATCAATTCATTTTAATCCTTGTAAAATGGTCAAATGCTATGCTCATATTTTTTTTTCCATATTTACCGGTACCCGGTACAGTACTAAATTTTATTAGCTACTGTAGTGATCAATGAGTAAAGGAAACACTTTTAACGATTGGGGGAAACTGTTTCTAGTCAAACTTTAAAGCATATTCATATTTCAAACTCTCGGCATCAATGCCTATCATATTTCTTTTCTTATTGTCTCGAGAAAAAATGCCATATTTAATAACATCTACCTTATCTCTTCCACTTTAACTTATCTTCAAATATGAATAATTTTCAGTAATTAAAATCTTAAGTCATCACTTGCACTCATAAACGTTAAGCATTTCTCCAACACATTACGCTTACTTCATTCGTCAACCATCTAATGTAATTGCTGATACAAGCTTAAACTATCCGCACATACTGTACAAGCACAGTATTATAGAAAAATAAATATACATTTTACAGAAATAAATACTTATATATGTGTTGTTGCTTACTTCCCCAAAAGTCGATAGGTTTTAGTTGCAGGGAAAATTTGGCTTCATTTTCAACGATAAATTCCAAAATCTTATCGAAAACCTATTATCATTTCCTTCCTCGTCAACTTTGTTTTCCTCCGTCTCTTCTCTTTTTACTTTCTCCTCAATGTATGCCTTTCTAATCAGATATCTGATTGTTTATTTTTCTATTCTCAAAGCGACCTTTCCCTTAATTAAAGACAACAGCTCCTTGTGTTATGCCATCGTATACATATGTGCCCAGATTTGACCATACGCCTGCCAGCGCGGCGGTGGAGAGCCCGCCAAAGTATATGGCCGTCACTGTTAGCATGATTGATAAAACAGATGCTCATTAAACACAATCGGCATACAAATTCACATTGCTTTATCGTATAGAGTCAGTGAAGGCGGACAAGCAATAGTAGATTGGGTCAATTCTACCAAGGACAGTCCCAAAACGACATTTACAGATCACTTTCACGAGGACGCAAAGCAGACTGATTTTGCCCTTCCTCAATTAAATGACAATATAGTTATGAAATGCAGACCCGAGGAAAAGTTGTGCACTTAATCAGAACAGTAGGTTGTGTATCTATGGTTGAACCCCCTCTTCGTTCCGTGACATGGCGCCATTTTGAGAAGTTAAGGCGAGCCGAGCAAGAAATTCGAAATTCAAAATGTCCGGCTGTACCACTTTCACCCTATACACCTCCATGAGGAGACAATATGCCTCTGATGTTTACTTATAATATTTTTTTTTAATTAAATGATATAAACGAGAGAAATGAAAAGTTCTCATCAAGGTATAAGAGATGACTGGGCTTAGGATAATTATGCACTTAAAAATGGCTAAATATGCATGCAAATATGCAGTAAAAGCTGAGAAAATATGCACTTAAATATGCACTTTAAAACAAGTTAATAAATAATAACTACTAAGTTAATAACTCCTTTTCTGTACATTTTCTCAGTATATTTACTTTCCCAGACAGGATGTTGTAGTGGAATCCTCCCCTACAAACGCTGTTTGTCGCTGCCTAGCCGACCCCACCAATTCCCCAGTGTATGCCTCGTGGTCTAGGTCAACCAGCGCCGCCATACATCACGGAGCGGGGGTCAACTACTAAGCCACGCCAACCCCCCGCTATTTAAGACCTGACCTCGTGGTGATCTGTCTCTCTTTCTACCTACACCAACCAGCCAGCAACACCTCCGCCTGCCTGGCGGTCCTCTCTCCCGCTGGCGAGCATGGCGACCCACAAGCTGTCCTTCTCTGAGCGTCCTCACCAACTAGCTCTCTCTACATCACGCTTGTAACCATGCTGCCTTCCCAGCACCAAGCTGCATTGTACATCCAATACAACATGTATATAGAGAGCACATTGTGAGTTTCCTTTCTCCATCCCATCCTGACTGTGAACCAAACATCTTGAACCCCACAATGTCGTCGAAGTAGGATTTTTTAAAGAAGAATTAAATACAAAAAACAATATACTGACAAAGTAATTTAATAAACAATACTGAAAAAAGTATTTCTTTCAAGAAAATAGAAGAACAAAAGAGTGTCAGGAGCCGAAGAGGGAACTGGTGGAGCCCGTGCATCTACTGTGTACCCTGCCTGGCTGAACACGAACCCATCACGTACAGTTCATGTCCACAGACCAGCCAATCACGGCTCAGCTGACCACAGCCTAATGTTGAGCTATATAAACGTCACTTACGTATGTTCCTTGTGGATATTATGACACTGAAACAAAATCGCGTGTTTTCGATTTTGTATTAGTGCAATAAAATGGACATTTATATTTCAAATATCAGTAATTTCTGCCACAGCGATGCTGTTATGCTCGCGAATTTTTTGACCCTTAAGGTTGAAGAATGTTTTATCATATTTTGGAATTTTCCAAATATATGCCTTATAAAACAAAAAATTATGAATATGCACTTTAGCTCAAAAATGGCTTAAATATGCATTTGCATATGCGCATATGCAAATGCATATTGCATAATTATCCTAAGCCTAGAGATGACTATTGCCAAATACTCAGGAGATTCAAGTATATAGCCATTATCCGTCATCCTGAAATTTATGAAAGAAATGTAGTTAGTCGAGGTAACTGTAAAGTAATTAAACTATATCGACGGAAAGGGACGAAAACCTGACGACTATATCAGCGGTTAGAGAAAACATAACGTGTAGTCTGTATACTCGATGAAAATACGAGTACAGTACTGTATGTCAATTCAATATAACCCATAAAAGCCTCGTGCGTTGATCTATTCAGGTTCCAGACTGTTGAAACACCTAAAGTTAAACAATACAACAATAATAACAAAAATAAAAATAATAATAGTATGAAATTGCATGAAATGTTGAGGGCAAAGTTATTAAAATACACGAACACTTTTATTCGTGTAATTTCACCTGTAATTCAGGATTTTTATTAGAACAGGATGCCAATTTATGGTGAAACCCTATACATGCAAGCACGATGTAATCAAGACTTCTTTATTAATTTATTATTCTAGTGGAAATTCGCACAAGCCCATACATATAGTTTTTCATTTAGTTTGTTGCATGAACCAGTAAATGTGTGGATTTTATAAACCTCGCCCAAAACACAACTACGTATAATCAGTAAAAAAAGTTAAACGAAAAATAATTAATAATGTTTGGCGTTCACCTGAATATCAATGTTTTCTTGGTAAACGATATTTGATACTGTTACAATTACATTGATGAAATAATATCTGAACTGTATACCTGCATTATATATATATATATATATATATATATATATATATATATATATATATATATATATATATATATATATATATATATATATATACAAGCAATAAATAATATGATTATAATAATACCCAAGTGACCTCAGGTACAGTATAAGGAAATAACTTCCGCATTAGCTGCTTTGTCTTTGTCTATTTAGGTTATTAACACCCATTATTTTGTCATGAGACACTGCTAGTGATGAAGGTTGGTGCTACACACCCGTTTGCATCATATCGGCCCCCACCGGTAACGTGAAGGAGCTACTGAACAGTGACCGCAGCCTGTGGCTCATTCAGTACTGCCACTGTTCCACAACTAAACAAGACTATTTACACATCCCCCCTCTCTGACCACTCCGTCAGTACTCCCAGGCTCACCAAACTGGTTCCGTTGCACATAAACAACAGGTATAAATTGATGAACAGTGGTGCCTGATTAATCAATTCGCTAATTAAGAGAAGCGCAGAATAAATAGTGTATGCGTACATTTTAATTTAATTTTAATGAGTATGAAATAAGATTAAGACTATGAACCAGTTTGTAGACCATAAGCGGTAAGTGACAATTTTACATCAAATGACTGGATGGTGGAGATGGTAAGCGAAGAAGCTTTTCAGACGGTTTGACCTTTAGCAAAAATGAATCGTGTTGGTCAGATTTTCAGAGGCTGTGGCGGCAGACTAAATAATTTAGTGTGGTGGACGTGAGAGACGGCAGCTGGGACATAGAGCAGCCTGGGGGAGTGATAGCAGGAGGTAATACGGGTGAATTAAACATAAGCTGAATACGAAAAAAATGGCCTGCCATAATTACTAACATCATCATTAACTCGAATACGCTGGATAGCTTCAAACATAGGTTGGATGGATATATGAACGACAGGGGTTGGGTGTAAACGGGACTGTCCAGTATGAGCCAATAGGCCCGCTACGGTTTCCTCCATTCTTGTTCTAATATTGACATTGAAGTGTCATTATTTCAGTCTAAATTAACAGATTAATTATTCACCTACATAAGAGGATAAATAATTATTTCTACGTCAGCTAGTGGCAGGAAGTTAATGAGCTCTACAAAAAATATTCAAGGTAACATAAACAGATTTCCACCAAGGAGATTATACGGCCTATAACATCACCTTGCCATTCATGTTGATAATACTTCCACGTTTGTTGTAGTACACCTGTTGTCTTAATACAAGAGAGAACCAGTTCACGAGGTAGTAGGCAGCTACCAAACAGGGAGGTACTACCACCTGGGAAGATATAGGAAGCATAATGTGTTGTCTAATGGTAGACCCTGCTGCCATATGGCATCGCAAAACTTGTGACCAAGTCCCAGGTTGCTGATCTGACTTTCTGCCTCATTTGCACACAATTGCAGGGTCACGGTTGTTTCTCTTGCTATTGACAACACAACATACATATATTGTTTTTCACTAATGATCTTTTTTTTTATTTCTTTATGGTTCCATATTATTATTATTATTATTATTATTATTATTATTAATATTATTATTGCAGTGTTTTCAGTATTATTATTGTTATCATTATTATTTTATTTTGTATTTTTTATTATAAATTTTACTTATCTGAATTATTATTATTATTATTATTATTATTATTATTATTATTTTATTATTATTATTATTATTACATTTTCGCCCCTCGGGCCCTGATGTGGGTCAGTGACCTGTGTCCGGGTGGGCTAATAAAAAAAAAAAAAAAAAAAAACCCTTCCGACCTCCTACACAACAAATATACCACTCGTAACATTCTTGTCTTTATTATGGACTTAAAATGAAATCGGTGGAAAAATCGATCAACTGTCACCTGGTATTTAGCGGTCAACCATTTTAGATTCCAGAATTTGAGAGTTCACAGTTGACTGCACTTCCTCTCAGTTTGAAATAATAATAATAATGAATATTAATAATACGTAGAGATGTATATATTACCTAACTGCCATATGGAAACTAAGTCAGTCTATTTCAATACTATTGACTTTATTTTAAGAGTTTGGCTTCACAAAACATGAACAAAATATACGGTACACAACATCCATATTAATGATATTATTTCGGAATTAGCAATTGTGCAAGAAATTTGATTTGCACACTTTTATATTGAAGTTATAATATTCAACTCATTTATAATCCCTAATGGCTATAGGCTTTTCTTGTGTAATCTTGGACAGCACTTGTAGGTGTTCCAGACTATAGTAAGGAACAAAGTCCAGTATTTTAGTAGTAGATGCACACACACACACACATACACACACACACAAGATCCTCACACAGTAGTAAGGTTATTTACTCTCTAAACAAGAAATAAAAAACTCAACTAGCTCCTTTAATCTCCGAAACAGTTAGGTGCTACCTTGGTCACCATATATTAATTAATGGAGTTGTATGCGTTCACACATCACCAGCTACTGCATGGGGAAGAATTCGTTCAAGATTTTTTGAGAATCATGTTATTTACAGACTCGTGATGACCCGCTCACTTAATCGCACCCAATTGCGTCACTAACGTCTTCGACGAAGGTGTGGGAGTGAGTCAACAAAGGTACAGGAATTATATTCAAATCGTCTCACTCGAGGGATGGAAGTAATTCATTAATGATAAACTATACACTAAGTACTTATGAGGTTGCAGCATATGTCGGTATGGGTAATTAGTTTACTATGACACATTCCACTAATCACGTACGGTTGCAGCACTACCTGTCGTCTGAGGTATTGGTGGTGTGGTAGTGTGTGTGTGTCCATTAAGTCAACGAGTTTGTGAAATACTATTGTGATTATTACGTAGGACGTGCGAGGGACTGCCAGCCGCACATCAAGATGTAACGTACAATTAGTCAGATACAGACATTCATTAAATCGACATACTGTGCAAGTTCACACTGTTCCAACATGCATGTAAGCAGCGCAGGTATATAAAATACAGGCTTAGACCAAACACAATGAAGTACGTAAGTATGTAAGTAGTTGTAGTAGCGACGTTGACCACGAGGAAAGGTAGCGGCCACAACCCACCAGAGCCAACGCTGTTCCAAGGCGCCCCACACCCACAGGCCACCGCCACCACACCCTCAAGGACAGGGTCAACATCGAGTGTCGTATATATACATCACTCCCCTGACGACGTACATCAGTTTCTCTTCGCTGACTCAAGAACACACATCAGCCATGGGTCTCCTTAAGGTATGGACTACCAGGTGTACCCGAGCCAAATTCCCCAAAACGTTTGTACGTTCGTTTTTTACCATAACTGAAGGGGTAAGAGGATACCTAACTGGGTCACTTCAGCTGCTGCAAAAAAGTGGACCTTATTGGTGATACGTTAATTTTGTCTCGCTAATTAAAGCTGTGAAAACGCATTTAATGTTCACTTAAAATATGACAAATGTTTCCTTATAAGAGGTTCATATGTTAAATATTACTTTAAATTGACGTATTAAAACTTAACTGGCTTGCTGAAGATGCGGCACAGAATGTTCTCAAAGTTCATACAATGAAATATTCTTATAATTAGAGTTGAGAATGCATCTAACCGGACCACTTGAGTTACAGAACAGGTGGCAACCAGAATGAAGTCGAAGTTACACTGAGACTATCGTAATTGGAAATGTTCTCTTATCCTGGTGGGAGGGGGGAGGTATTGCACAAATCTTTGAGAATCTGGACTAATACCGACTTACGAATGACCAGCCAGTGACTGGTACGCTCTCTCTCTGATCCCGTGCTGTCTCAAGTATGTGGAAACGGGTTCTTGAATTGTCATATTTATTTCCAAATCAGACATACAATAGTTATGTCAGAGTAGCACTGCCAGAATGAAGATATTTAAGCTGTATGATCTCCAAATGACCGAATCGTGTGCAAGTGGCAGAACATCTGCCGATACACACGTGTGTCCGTGTCATTTCACACATGTGTGATAATTGCTTATGGTGATTACAGACACGGAAATTTCCACTTTCTGGTGTCTTCACAAAACTTACCAATGGCAGATAAGCCTTCAGCCACTGGTGACGTTTGATTTACTGATATATTTATATTTAATAGTGCTATCAATTTCGACAAATTAGTCCCTTAAAGGTCCAGTAAGGGCTATCCCAGAGGTCCAGTGTTAGTACCAGGACACTGTAATACCCAGGGAAGACCAGCTATGTCCCGGAGGGTCACACTGGACAACACCCAAATGCGTGAAGTTGTGGAAGTTTGTACAATATCATAACTAATAAGTAGGGTATACAGTACTGTACTGCACATTATTTACTGTATCATCATTAAGACTGCCAGTCTTAATATAAACACAGTACACATGCTGTATATGCAACACTGTTAGTACAGTACTGTACCTGTAGGTATGAGCGAGGACACAAGGGTGTGTAGGTTTATGAGTGAGTGTATATACAGTACAGTATATATATTATATCATCATGAACAAAGTGTTTGTCTCACACTTGTTTTCACTTCTGCAGATGATGGTGACGGCAGTTATTGTGGGCGTGGTTCGTGGCCGCCCAGACGATGCCCCGCACCCAGGCTACTCCTACCCTGTCCCACCCCCTCCAGCCTACGGTCCTCCTGCACCAGCTTATGGACCTCCTGCACCAGCCTATGGCCCTCCTGCACCAGCATATGACCATCCTACACCAGCTTATGGCCCTCCTGCACCAGCATATGCCCATCCTACACCAGCCTACGGTCCTCCTGCACCAGCCTATGGCCCTCCTGCACCAGCATATGCCCATCCTACACCAGCCTATGGCCCTCCCGCACCAGCCTATGGCTCTCCTGCACCAGCCTATGCCCCAGAACCTGCCTATGCCCCTCCTGCACCAGCCTACGGCACTCCTGCACCAGCCTATGCCCCTCCCTCACATGATGTAAGTACTGTATGTTGGATTCAACCTCGCCTATGATACCTGCTGACTTAACATAATAATACTCATGGCCTGCCTAACTATGATGAATAACATAACAAGCTCATCCATTAACATGCACTCCAGCTGTCTCCTCCTCGTATAGAAATTCCAGTGTTATCACCCTTCCTACTCTCTTCCAATACCATTTCTTTCCTCTTATCTTCCTTCAGCAAAAAGAGTTCTCTCTCATAATTTTTAATCGTTGATGGACAAGTGTAATTATACTGTTTTAACCTTGTTACATGCAGTAATAACATTAACATTCATCTCCTCACTCTCTTCCACATTCCCCATCCTCCATCTCCTCCTCTTACAGAACAAGGGGATGCCATACGACTTCGCTTATGGAGTGAAGGACGACTACACCGGCAACAACTACGGCCACAACGAGAACTCTGACGGAAACACCGTGACCGGCGAGTACAGCGTCCTGCTGCCCGACAGTCGCACCCAGATCGTCACCTACACCGCTGACCACTACAAGGGCTACATCGCTGAGGTTTGTTTCTCATGATAAAAGTTAGTTCCCATTATAGTCAAATTATCCCATATAACACAAGAAGTTTTCAATCTGCTATTGGAATAATTATCATTACAAAGTGCAGTATTGTAAATGAAATGTTCTTTGTGCTATATATTCTCAATGTAGAGGATAGCACCTATCTATAATGCATAAAACATAATATTATTTGACAAAGACATGACAGCCGAGTAATAAGCACAAACACCCGAGCTCTGGAAGTAGCCACTGGTCATATTTGCAACCTTAGTCTTCCCACAAATCATCCCCTCATTGTTCTTTTATTGTTTTGTAGACTCTGCCAGGCGTGTTTTCTGTAATAAAAAAATAAATAAATTGTTTCTTAGGTCCGGTATGAAGGTGAGGCCAGATATGATGAACCACAGCACTATGCCCCCAAGTACCCTGTACCTTCCTACAAGCCTGCTCCTGTCTATGGCTCACCATCTGCCTAAACCTTCCCTCCTTTTGTACAGATCCCGCCCTGTGACCCTAACCTAACATGTGTAAGTTATTCTATAATATTTTATCATACACCAAAAGATGTATTTTTCTATATTGCAATAAATAAGTCAAGAAGCTCAATGTATTCAGTATTTTATCCTTAACAGCAACTAAGGATGGTCCCTCACGTGTATGCAAACAATCACATTTTGAAAATCGATATCATAGTCTTTACTACAGTGACCCCTCATTTAACGAACGCCTCGGTTAACGAACTGCCTTCCATAAGGATCTTCAATTCGGTTAACGCATTTCTTACGAACCGACCTCAACATGTTTTCGCTTGCACTGACCGGGCAACCAGCTTTAGTAACAGTCCGCCAATACATTAATCGGTTCTAGGGCTTAAATTCCTTACTATTTTAGTAAATATCAAGAAGTTTATACTATTCAATAATTTTAAAAGTTTAATATTCAATTTTTTAGTCATTTTAACAATTATTGAACATAATTGAAGGTAAAGTGACTACGTAGTTTAATGCGCGGCATCCAGCCTCTTAACACAGCAAACAGGCATTTGTCTCTCTCTGTTTTCACTGGAGGTAACATCTTGCTTGAGACTCTCTTCAACTAAACGCTTTCTTTCTGTGTTTCCAAGCAAATTATTGGTCATTTTGAAATATATTTTACATATTGACAATATATAATGCAGTGCAGTGTTGATTTAAAGAAAATAATCTTGAAATACACCAAGAGAACTAAAATTTTATGGGTGAAATGGTGCCATGGGGTGACTTCTCTTCCACCCCAATGCCTTCCCTTCTTCCTTCTCCTCCATCCCCATTCTAATTCCCATCGTCATCATCCAGGAGCCTTCTACATACACACCTCAAAGTAAGTGAACTTTTCTACCATTTTTGTTGAATTTAGGAAATTTTCGGTGAGCTGGAACCAATTACCCAAAACCCATTGAAACAATGGTTTCGGTTAACGAACGACCTTCTGGAACGGATTGAGTTCGTTAACCGAGGGGTCACTGTACTGAATTTCCAGATTTCTATTCATAATGGTTAGTTTCTTAACACAATCTAATATATTTACTCCTCCCCATGTTTTGTTGTGGATCAGATACAGAAACCTTAAATAACGTGGGACTTGGTACAGGAGTGCAATACAGACACAGAATAATGTGACGGGGAAGAGCTAAAACAATTTGGAATACAGTAATCCACAAACACACTCCCTCCCTCATATCTTCAACTTAATTTGCAGCAAAGTTAAATCTCTGACTCATCAATTTAGTAAGTGTTGTAGTATATCGATTCACTGCATACGGTACATAGTTGACTCGTCTGGTTCTTTTATTAAAACCGTTTCACACGTGTACAGTAGTGTCTACATTGTACACAAGCCACAATCACTCTTTTGGCTTTATCTTATGTGCCACCTCTGAACCTCGTTAATTCCTCTTGAATGTGTAACCCATTTGTTTCTTAGTCTTCCTTTTTGTTTCTCTTACCAATTTCTCACCTTTCATACACTCCATGTGCTTATGCTCTCATCTATCTGGTTCTCCAAAGACTATTTGGCACCACACATTCTTACATCTTCATTCCTTACAATAGCAATTCACAAAAAATCAACTACTGTAGTGTACATTTAATTTGCCGTCCATCTTTAGCTTTCTCAGCTTTTATCTAAAAATAATCTGACACGAATTTCACAGGTAAAAATCTGTATAAGTACTCCTTCATGCAGTCTCCTTGCACATACTACACTCATTTCTCATAATTCATACTCTCAGGAATCAACTTTTTTTCCCCTGCATTATGCTAAATTCACCTTTTCTAGTTCAATATTTGTTGAATATTGCTCCTATGTCCTTTGAGTCTCCCACAATCGTGTGCCCTTCTAGTCATAATACAGTAACATTATACCATGACTGATTGTAGTAGCATTCCCATAATCCACTTGGCATCATGCCATCTTATCACATGTACTGCCACTACACTTCATGCATCTTCCTCTCTCTCCTAAAATACAGGTTTTTACCAGTCTTTCACTTCTCTTCCTTTGTCCTAACCATTTGTGAGCCTGTTTATCCATTCCACCGATGCACAATTTTCTTTCGCTTCCATTCCAGAAATCCTATTTTTACCTTTTCTATTCAAGTACAGTACTGTATTGGTAATTCTAATTGTAGCCCTTCAGACTGTACCTCACATCTGTTGCTTGAATTTTTTTTACCATTCTATCCCATTTCAAGTCCATATTTCATCATAATTTTACACACAGACATTCCCGGTTTAAGAAATGGTTCCATTCCTGAAAAACTTTAGCAAACTCCCATTATATAAGTCGAGACATGTTCCTACAGTAAAAACTTTTACCAAAATATTTTTTACTTCTACAAAAGCTTTGTGAAATTTTTTTGTGTATACAGTACAAATATTATAAGCCACACATAACGATGGTCACAAAAGTTACTGAAAGTAGATGTTAAGTCATGCGAGACTGCGTGACCAAGCGAAGACACGGTTTTAATTTCATAGGACAGTAATGCACCAACAGTAAGTGTACTCTATTACACTGTACGAGCAGTGATACAGTCTAGGTAGAAGGTGCAAAGTCTGCCCTCACCCTTACTGGACGGTGGGTCGGTCAGTGATGCCACTCATGAAAAAACTAAGTTTACCAGATACGTGTCTGAATCTTTCTAGATCGCTTAAAAAAATTCAAGGTATGACAAAATTATATCCAATTACTGTACAATTATTTTAATTTTAATCAATACAATTCTACAAAATGTACAAAATATATAAAATACAGTACTGTATACACGAAAAAATACATAAACGATAATACACTTGGTATTCTGCATTCCAAAATAAAATTAAATCTATTCAAAGGACAGTTGGAGTCGAGACTAAACTAAAGTGGTATTTCCTCTGTAGTATAGTATGTGGTCTACCGAGCTGGAGTTGGTCTACCGGGATATTAATACCATAGCGTTAAGTCAGGTCTGGTTGGGCCAGGTTATATCACGTTCGGTTAGGTTAGGTTAGGTTAATGGTTGCTTGTGTAAATATCCCAGTAGACCATATTCTAAAAAAGCACCACTAAAGTTCTATCCGAGTAAATCAGAGCGAAAATTTTACCTTATAACTAAACAAGTAGACTTGTACTGTAGTAATACTTAAGTGTAGCCTATAAGTACAGTAATTAACTTTAATTGTTGCTTCTATACTGAAGCAATTAAAAAAATGTTTTCATTTCTTTCCAAATGAAAGAAGTCACATTGCTTAAAGGTGCAAAATTGGCGAATCATGGGGTGCCATTTTACTTGGCAAGTGAAGCACCAAAAGAATACCCTGTAATGGAATTTTTAATTTAACTATGATTCTCGAATATCAAAACAGAAAATTAATAAAATATTTAGAACACAAATTAATAGTTTTTTTTTCAAATATATGGGAGGTTTTCAAAATTTTCTTTTAAGCTTGTGGTAAATTTTTCAAGATCTAGAACAAAATAAATTCAAGCAGTGGCCCCACTGGTTGCTGTCCAGCCATCGCCCCCAACACCCAGAGAAGCAACTGAGCAGTTCAACAATTAAGCTCTAATAAATTCAATTTCTCAATAAGGACTGGGAAAGGATGTCATTGTTAAATAAATTCACAAAACAATTTACCAATTCAAATTTTACAGTAATTGACATAATTGGTCAGATTACCATTAGATAATCATGACATTCTTTACAATACAGAAGAAACAGTGGAGTGTCTTCGTGGCTGGGGGTTTCGCAACAATATCCGAATCCTCCAAGTTTTATTTTCCCTCAGAATGGTACTCAGTATACTAAGCATGAATGTGAAGGATAATATGGTTTGTCAAAGAACACTTTATCACCCTCCGTGTCAATACCATTATTATAGGGTCTACTGAACGTAACCTTGGCTTGTTCCCTATTAGTAGTTACATATGAGCGACAATATAAAAGTGTCATCCAGAAGGTCACAAAATCATTGATTAGGGTTGAATGGAAAAAAGGTAAAAGCAGCATGACCGTGTTTTATTATTAGTTAAACGTACTGTATTTGTATAGGTAACCACAAATGTTGCCCAGCTAATGTTATTGACTCATTATCTTTGTAAATATTTAAAGTTACAAAAAGAAGTAAAGCAATGATTCAAACAAACTATTCTTAAAAGAAATTAAGAATAATTCATGTCATGTGGTCACAAAAATTATTCATTCACTAGCCAGTCCAGTATGGATGCCACAAGGTCTCGCACCCCCTGAAGTACTTTACATTCCCACTGTCCGTTAATATGTACAAGTTTAACAATGGTTTGGGAGGCAGGACAACATAGAACTCCTAGAATGGCCCAGGAAGGAACTTACAGAGCAGGTGTGGCTATGGACATACATGGACAACATGCAAGAGAAAGAAGCAGAATGGACTTGCATCAACTTTGTGATTAACCTTTAATAAAGCATACTCTTGAACATTATAGAATGGAACTTCTGATCACCTGGCTTATTGCATCATGAATTATGTAACTACTACAGTACTACTACTACAGATCAAGCTCTGGGATACTTCACACATCACTGTTCCAGCAAAAATATCCGAGCCATGACAGCTAAAACACTATGTACTTTACTCCTAACAGTTAATCAATCTTAACACAAAACAGTAGTGCATGTTGGTTTTAGTTTAATTGCCTTTATAAACTGACCAGGCCTGGTTTGGGAAGAAGCATCTTCTGATGCTGCAAAAAATAAAAAAATAGAAAGCTATAAAAAAGTTATAACAAACTCTTTTGCGTGTAAATTGAAACGTGGCCTTTTTTGTAACTTTGGATTTTCGTAAAATATAGACTGCCTGTATTAATTTGCAAGCATAGTAAACAGCCATAAGACTGTTATAGGTTGACCAAAATCCAGCCAAACTACTAAGTTATTCACCTTTTACAGTTTGTTTACTCTTCACAAACAGCATCTGAGACATGATATAAGTGGCCAAATCCCATCTTCCATCTCCACTCCAGCTTGACACTCTTGGCATCATATCCCTCCAACATGACATCCCTGCCTCCCTCACTCCTCCTTTCACCTCAAAGCTCTTACTCAATCCTCCATGTACTTACACATATGACTTACTCCTCTTATAGAATGCCTCCACTGCATTAAATAGCTTACCATTACCTTCATAAATCTCTCTACATGTGATAACTTTTTTTATCAATACACTCATCCCAATACTTTCAAGTATAAATTTTGTTGCAGTTTTACAACTCAAATTTATATTATACAGTACAGTACAGTACAGTACAGTATGTGCAATTTCAAATGTGACTACATGTCAATAAAAATTTATAAATATCACTAAGGTTTGCTTTTAAAATTTTACTTTGTACATCTCTGACAGAGATACCATTTTACAATGTTAATTACAAATCTTATCTCCCAAGAAAATGAAGTGCTAGTATTTAATGGTTTACCTCAAGAATTTATTTTACAAATGGACTACAGTATTTAAAAACGACATACATACATCAGTAATTCTTTTTCTCCACACAATGGCCACTATCTTCACATTTCTCCAAGTCATCTTTGAAGTTAATGCACTTTACTCTATTTCCTCCAAGTTACCTTCCACATCCTGTACTTCAGCAGTCATGTATTGCCAAGAATAAAGGCAGCTTGCTCATACTCATTTTCCAAGGAATAATTTATCAAATAATATCTTACTACAGTACAGTACTATGAGTAAGTACTCTATTGTAGCCAATCGATACAAAAGACTTTACTTCTTCAGGCCTGCAAATATTGTACACCTTCCCTGTAAGGGCTTTCTTGAATCTGTTAACTTGAGGATAATCTTGACTACAAAAAGCAAACTGTGATAGCTATATCAACACTGTCAGTTTCTAGTTCACACCTTCAAGGCTAACATGTAAGACATTGTTTGTGTTGCTGACACATGTGGAACTTGTAAAACTTCTCTCCTAATTGTGTGTAAAGTGGTTAAATGAGATACAGAAATATCCCAAGCTTCAAAGGGAGGAACCAGCAGGGAGCAAGTGTGAATTAAAAGAAAAGACCAGAATTGTTTTTCACTTTTTATTTTCCTATGGTTTGTGGACCATCATTTGGTTATATTATCTAGTGATTTTTCATTGTAGCTTACAAATTATGTGGCCAAGCTCTCCTATCTTTTAATAAAAATCACGATTCACAATCTGAAAATAATTGTGGTAAAGAGCTAAAGACCAAGTTGTAAAACCAGGGTTGACCAATCTATAATAATTGTCATTGCAAATAATTAGAGAAGTGGAATTTGACCTCTGTAAAGTAGGTAAGTGCAGAAATGAGTGATGCCGCTCCCAGCATCACCCGCAAGTACCGAGATGAATGCCAACGGTAAACACAACACTAAGTGAAGTATGAACTTTACAAGTAGAGGATAGTCTGTAGAAGAAATAATTACAAAACAAAAATGAATAATATTAATCTAGGAAAATGTAAAGTAAAGTAACAGCTGACGTAGTTCTAGCAGAACACTTGCCAATTCTCAGCTTTGGGTATTAATAACATCTTGGGGTTTTTTTTGTCCATAAATATAACTTTACAATTCATACAAAGCTGAAAACTGCCACTATCATCACAAATGCTAGTTCCAACAAATCATACAAGATAAAAAATAATATATTCCTGAGAGAGAAGAATGGATATAGATCAAACCTAATCTCCACCTTAACTCTCATGGTTCACCAGAGCATTTGGGAGTAACAAGGATCCGGCAGACTGCATGCAGTGGTAGGTCAGCTGGCATCCTTTGTGTCATTTGCACTGTCATCAACAAGAAGTCACAGGCATTTATGAGATGGGAAGTTAGTGCCTATAATTTATATAAAATAATGCAAGACCAATTTATAAAGGAAAGCTTTCATAGTCATTGAAATTTCTGTACAGTGTCACATCCACTAATAATTGATGCACACGACACAAACTTCCCTGAAATGCCCGTGCCTTCTGAATTGAATATCCCACGACACTTGCACCTGCCAGATGTATGATAATCCATGGGGTTGGGCTCTGACATACCACTGGCAGTGGTCTCGGGTTGTTTTGGATGATACAAGCGACAGCAAAAGCCAGATGCTCATGCTCCTGCTACTACGGCAACTGGACATTTGTACATGAACCTAAGGAGCAGCCGCTAACTATTGAGGCTGCTTTCACTCGAGTCATCTTTGGGCCCTACAAGTTTATACAAGAACAATGGTAAATGCTTATATGCGATTAAATACCATGGCTATTTACACACGGAAATATATATTAATGCAAGTCAAACTCTCTTCACGTTACAAACAAAATTTAACCAATTCTATATAATCACAGTTGCAGGGTAAAAATTTTAAGCTTTTCTCAATTCTGAAATGGTAAAACAGCAGGATTACATGACCAGTATAGATGATAAAACCTATCTAGATTTTCATAAGTTTGATGCTGACCCTCTAGGAAAAAAATATATAAATAATAAAAATAGTTCTCTAAGCCACTTCCATCCACGACACACTTGGGCTATTGTACCAATATAAATACAATATTATATCATGAACTTTAGCAACTGAACTTCGTAATGCTATTAATTTTGTCCTTGGAGGCAAAGGCTGGCACCCTCGCTAATCCAGGGTAACCCCATCCCATACTTACAAAAGCTGAATTGCTTATTAAAAATCTGTCTAAATTGTAAATGGAAATAATATTCTCCTCAACAAAGAATATAATTGACAGGATGAGCGAGGGCTGACCACATATAAAATTGCCAGCCCCAAGACAGTAATATGATACACCATACACCCTATTTCTTTTTGTTTTTCTGATTGGCAGCTCCTCTTGGTGGCGTTACGGGTCTTCCAGTGTTCAAACCTCCATAGGGGAACTTCTTTTTGTCTGCAGGCTGTTGTGGAGAAAACACACTCAATGAAGGACATCTTGACTTATCTTCAAGCATTAAAAACTAAGCTTAATATACATAGCTTTTTCTTTCTTCATAAGTTCTTTCCTGCTCCAGTATACGGTGACCAGAATCAAGAACAATAATAGTCTTTCTACCTTGCTGTCGTATGTTCTATCTATCCAGAAGTTTGGTATGGTGTTCCAGTTTCTCAACAAGGTCATAGCATATCCATTTAATTTATCCCTATAGCTGTCTAGAACACCTAACCAGCAGTCATCAGCAGGATATCTATCCCACATATAGACAGTGGTTCTGTGGTTTTTGAAATGACCATAAAACCTTTAGTTTTAAATCTCCCATAAGTGCATTGTATAATTGCACTTGCTTCATCCACAATGTATAAAAGGTCAATCCAATTACGTAAGCTGTGAAATTTATGTCAACACTGCAACACCTACTACGAAGGACAACAGCCATTACATTTTGTAAAGATGAAATTGTAGTTTTGAATCCTCAAGTGTGGTAGCTTCTGTTAAAAAATTTGACCTTAGGTGGTCACTGGCATTCGACAGTCTTAAGAACGCAAAAGCTACTCAATCCCGCAGGAATCGTTTTTTCTTGTAAGGTAAACTTGATCTCGTATGCAATGCCTGGGTCAAAAATCAGTCAGCAAACTGAATAATCTATACTTTGTTAATTTAAGCACTGTATGCAGAGGAAATCCATACCATCTGCAATTACTTTTAGCTTAAGCCATAATAAAAGTACCTAAATTCCCGAGTTCAATGTAATAACTTGTACATACTGTAATCAAGACTACTTTGAATATATGTAGTTTTACTAGTCTACAGTGCTATACATATACTTTACTATGTGCCATACTACTGAGAACAGACTGCTTACCTTAAGTATCTGGAAGGAACACATGAGTGTCTCATCTACGGACATCATCGCACCAGCATTGTCAAACTCTCCGCAATAGTTTGGTGCTGAGAAGAGGGTCACTAACTGCCGCTTTGCAAAGAACTCATACCCATCTTCAACAACCTATAAACCAATTAATAATTGTAAATAAAAATACAGTATTTATTAAAGCAGATACAATTAACGACTTCAAACTGGTAATGAATTTAGTTACATTCCTTAACATAATTTAATAATACAATAATAACAAAATTACTTCATTTCTATAATTCATAATTTTTATACAGGAGATGGCAATTTAACAATCTTACAAATTAACTTAATGTACACAGGAAACTGAAGGCCACATACCTGATGAGCACGACAAATGAGGTCGAAGTCATGTTTGTGAAGGAATTTGGCGACAACTTCTGCTCCGAATGTGAAGGAAACTCCTCGATCATTTTCACCCCAACCCATAGTGTCCTGGTCATCACAAACATTATGTTAATAGCAATAAATATGAATGTATCTTAACTGAATATATCGGTAAATCTTTCGCCTAAAATAAAAAGCTACACAAGATTAGGCACAAAAATCTATTGTCATACAAAAGAAAAAAGCACTTTTTAAACCAACCTCCTTAATGACAGTTGGATTATGTGAGTAAATCTTTGGAATTTAAGAGGATATAAATCAGTATTACGAATAATCCTTTAAGGTATACAGTACAGTACACATTTCATGGTAAAATGCAGAAAAATTATTATTCCTCTCTACTGTATATAAATCCTAAACCCAATTAAATCCAACAAGTAGACTTTTGCTTGTAATGAGGTGCTTTAATAAATGCATATGGATAGTGGCACTGTGCTCTAAGAGTTCCCAAGACAGATCTAACTCCTGGTACTGTACTTTAATATCAAGCTAAAGTACAGTACAAGAATTTGACTAGATATTTTATAAAGAATACTTAAGTCGTACAATGTCTGTTTCCATGTGGATCTTGCATTCATCTTCGAAGTTCGTAAAATGATTTTACCAATTTTCGTGTATTCAAAACTTAAGTGATTTCTTAGAACACAAAACAATGAGTTTACATAACTTGATTCAACTATCTGTACGAGTTGTAATTGTCATTTGCTGCAATGTAGAGGTTAAGAAAAAGTAATAAAACTCAAGTTGGAATTTCAGTGTAAATGTTAGTGTACCAGAACATCAAGAGAGTAAATGGACTCCTCTTCATCCTTCCCATGGGTGACTATGATCAATCACTCCAAACTGACTGTGGAACATACAGTACCCGTTAAGCATTATTTTTGTTGCAGAAAATATACCGTTGAGTATTTGTATAAAACACATTTATTGCAATAACTGTTTCAGAAAAGTTTTACCTATCCAAACCCCGAATGATTACACAATTTTCTAAAATAATGGCCAACAGTCCATTTACCACAGAGCTTCTTTTCTCTGGTTAAGATATAATTACACTTCATTCAAAACAGAACACTTCCAGCTTATTTCTAACATTTTAATTATCCTGTATATTACCCTCAAAATTTTTCTGTTACGCAACAATTACCAGTAGCTGTTTTTATCTTTCGATAATCTTATCTGTTAGTTCATTGAACTTAAAAGATCTGGGGCTATCAACACACTATTAAACCAACTCCATTCTCCATTCCTTGCTCATAGTTTGTTCCACTAACTGGAATATTAATGCTTTAGCTTCTAGAATTCCATCCTGACTTCATTTTGATTGGCTTAAACACAACTCTGATTTACACCACAATACACAAATGTCAGTGTCTGGATCTTTCACACACAAGGATTTTACTCTCTTTCTAACCCTCCTGTACACAGTAACTAAAATAAATCCTTCCATTCACTCCGTCTTTAGATAAAATTTGTCATCTACACACAGCAGTTGTCTTTCTTTCTGTGACAATAGTTTAACTGTACTCCACACAAACCCTTTCCTCATTTAATTATTTAGTATACAGTAATTATACGTGTCAGAATACAATAGAACAGTGTATTGTATTACCTTGTCTGGGTCAGACCACAAGAGATCACAGAGTAGACCCTGGTCAGGAACGTCAGTGGGCCTCATTATGCGACGGATCTGTTCCATGCTTTGCAGGTCTGGGCTCAACCCACCATGACAACAGAAGATCTTCTCATCAACAATGGCTGCCACCGGTAGACAGTTGAAGCAGTCTGTGAACGTCTTCCACAATTTGATGTTGTACCGTCGCTTGCCTAAAGGAAAAGAACATATAATAGTACATGTAATGTAATGTATACTGTACTATAATTTAACAAGTACTAATACAAATTGTATCCGTGATAATACAGTATATACGCAAGATGTTAATATAAGTATGTACCGTATATGTATGACCAAATTTTTTTAATGTCACATCTTTGTATTTTACCAAATACTGCACTACATGTATATTATCTGATAAATTGTACAGAACATAAGTTATTATACTGAAAAATCTATTTTGCTACAAATTAAAGGTGTGGCATTTCACATTCCAAAGTATACAAATGTAAATTATATTTTGAATATTCTCGTTGAATATCACCCAACAGTACCTAAAGAAAATATCAATGACATACTATATCTACTGTACACACAATTCATACTATGTATTTCGAATAGGGGAATATTTCAAGAACTCGTTATACTTTTTCTTGATATTATTTTTTCTCTCCAAGACTTCAACACAATACATCCACCTATTAGAGACTAAAACTTACTGAAGATATACTATTTATGTCGAGGATAATGTTATTTACATACCATTTACAACTGAATACTATATACAATACAGTACATATATACCTATGAACAGAAAAGCAATGTTAATGTTGACAGAACACGAGTGTATGAGACTGCACAGAAGTATGTGATTCTTTTCTATGCATATATAAATATTTGGGCTTATGTAATTAGTTGTTTGTATATACAGAGTAACTGTATTGGAAACTTTAATTGTTTTGTGCGCAAGTTAAATATCAAATGATAACCCAATGTGTAAGTCAGTGAATGTGTAATTTGATGTTTATGCGTCCGTGAGTTTTAATGTGTGTCACCGGATAACGAGACATCACTACAGTACTCACACTCGTCGTAGAAGCCGTAGATTCTGTTGATGGAGGCGCACTCGTGGTTCCCTCTGAGCAGGAAAAAGTTCTCTGGGTACTTGATTTTGTAGGCCAGTAGCAAGCATATGGTCTCGAGGGACTGTTTACCACGATCCACGTAGTCTCCGAGGAATAGGTAGTTGGACTCTGGTGGGAAGCCTCCATATTCAAATAGTCGCAACAAATCGTAATACTGTCCGTGAATGTCACCTGTAAAAGAGAGAAGACCCAAGTTATTTTTTTTATAACTAGTGTTTAGAAATATTAAGACAAATTACATATAACTATCGAGGCAAAAGCATATTTTACAATTAATAGTTATTTGAGATGTTTATACTTATTCCCATTTGTATTCATTTTGTAAACATAGTTAAGTATTTTTAGACTATCATCATTGGTAGTAGTAGCAGTACAGGTAGTTCAGTATAATTTCGTTAAGTTTCAGAGATAAGTTGGTTCTTTCCGTGAAGAGGAGTGAGGGTGAATCTTATAAGCGAACAGCGCGTGTCCCTGGGTGGGTGAGGTCATAACGCCGAAATAGACCCAGCGGCGTTGCCACCAGCCAGTTTGAACCTATGACCTTGAATAATGCAACACGCCGTAAAAAATTAGCCTACCTCCCTATTGCTCTTTAGACTACTTGGTGATTAACACCCAAAACTAGTTATATATATATATATATATATATATATATATATATATATATATATATATATATATATATATATATATATATATATATATATATATATATATATATATATATATATTATATATATATATAATACAGGGGTAATAATAAACTACAAAGAAAATTTATACTTGTGGTTATAACATAATGGTCCACTTTAAAGCTTTCGTCAAAGATGGATAACACCTACAAACTCGTAAACACTTGTGGACTCGTTCTGAGGTTATCGAGGCAATAATAAACTATATAAATGTCTCTAAAATACCACATTTATAGTCATGATAAATCATGATGAAAAACAGCCAATGCCATTAACGACCACCACTACACAACCCATAAGATTACCTGGTTACCAAAAGTAACACCACAAACCATTACCAAGGTCACTCGTCTACCGTTGCACCATACAAGAGCCACTTAACGACCATTACCAAGGGCAACGATTATCATAAGAGATGGGCAACACTGCTTTACCGTACTAATGGTCTACCATGATGTGGGCGGGATATGGTGGTGGTGTAGGGGAGGGGAGGGGTGGTGTAGGGGAGGGGAGGGGAGGGGGGTAGGGGTGGGAGAGGGACGGAGGTAGGTCCAAGGTGGGGTATTGATCTTAGTGTGGGAGCCGCCTTAACGTCCCGTTGCAGACACCCTCCTGTCAACCCCCTCACACACACTACACTACACTACACTTTACACACTGAAAGCAATAACATCGCCTTCACAAACCAATCAACCTACCTATATGAAGTACCATACACTTGACAATTACATCGCCGCCACACACCCAATACATCAGTTACATAACCAATTACGTCAACCACACACCCACCAACATAAACTGGACTAACTACATCATCTACATACTCTTACATCATTATACACTTTAGTTACCATTGTACATCAAGTTACCACCTTGCACGGTCACAAGTCAAAATTCTCCGTTCCGCAGAATTCTTTGGTCCTAGTATTAATTAGTAACTTTATTTTTATTTTTTTATTACAGGGAATAGCCCACCCGGGCACAGGTCATCGACCCACAGCGAGGCCTGGGGGCTAACATTATCCATACATATCCATACAAGTAAAACCAGGTACAGTATTAGAAACTTTTGGTTTATATCATGTTTCTATATTGACGGAATAAAATGACAGGTAATTTGCTCCCCGCCCACTCGTGTTTTTCTTAACGTGTGGTGTGCGTGTCTAGTACAGTACGGTAGTTGGCAACACTGAGCAGCGCCCCGTTTTGGGTAACAGGTAAATAAGGGATCACCTGGGGGCAGCACTATGGTTCACGCCCCACTGGTCTCTCTCTCTCTTCTTATGTTAAAAAATAAACTTTCTTCCTTAAGCTTCTGGTGGCTATATTGTTAGCGTAAATATTAAATGATTAAAGATACAACCAAGGCTTCAATGTCTTCATTTTCTAACGATGAAGCAGAGTAAAAGATGAACAGGGATGCCACACGACACTCCTTACTACCGATACAAAATGAAATGATGTATACGAGAGGTAACAAACCCGATGATTCTCTTGCCAAGACGAACAGAAAAAAGTCCCAACCTTAGATCAGTTAACCCTTAAATCGATAAAGAAGCTCCTAATACCCAAAGAGGATACAAGAAAACGCCCAATATCAATATCAGGATGCGTCACGGAATGAACTTAACCACACACTTACACTTGAGCTCCGATATACTCAAGTGTTGCTTCAGTCAGTCCTGCTAATAACCTTACACAACAACCAAACGCCGGCCCCTACAATCGTGCTCGAGACGCAGCCAATACCTGGTGGTAAAGTCAGCTACACCCAAAGGCTTACCATCCCTGACTCCCTTACCACCACCACGAAAGAAACCACCACGCTAATACCGCCACCGACCCCCCCCCCCTCACATAAAACTACCAGAAAATAATTAAAAACTTTCACTAACTAATTCAATTTCTTCTGTTTCTATACACAAGAAGTACCCGAATGGCTTTAAGCTCCTCATATATTACAGTACAGTACAATATTTTACAATCTAAGTACAACCTGGCTGGTTATGTATTGGTATGCTTAACCATTACTATTATCTGATCACCTACTCCGTTACAATCCATTTACATTTCCACTTATATCGCCAAAATTAAAACGATATGGGTTGTAGACTTTAATAATACATCTTTATTTTGTGATAGTTTTTGATGGTTTAAGCTTGGTGGAATGGGTTAGTGTAGCCCGTTACTCGGTAAAACTGTTTATTGGCCATAAACTCGAGGCGGCTGATGGACGTCACGTTCCTGCCCGCCGTCTGAGTAAGCCGGGTAAGCCCTAAGTATCTACCCCCAGATAAACCGGGTAGAATCCTCCTCCCAAATCTACGCCAAAGTAAAATCCACGCGAGGGAGGAGTATCCAGTATTATCTTAGCACCCCAGGAGTTGCAGCAGCGATAGTCAAGTGACAGTATGAGCTGTGAACCAGGGAATCGTTACCACCCTAAACGCCATGTCATTATGACTACAACTTTCCAGACTCCTACACTTCCTAGAGAAATAACATTTTGAACTACCAAGATTACATATAATAGAATAAAGATGGCGTACATTTAGGCGAAATAATCAATTGCGTGAAATACCCAGCTGTAAAATTATCCCTTCGCTCAGTAAAAACTTTACATATACTGTTCCATACCTAAAACCAACAATACCTAACAGCCTATCGTAAACCCCAATTAGCGTTTCCAAGCAGTATTACTCAATAATTCACACCAGATGTCTGACAACACCCCCAGTTAGTGTTATTGTGTCATATCTAAGTACAAGTTACAAACACTAAGGTGAGAAGAAGTCTTACTAATACAAAATGTGTGAAAGATTACAAACAGGAAGTGGGTAGTGACGTCAGTCTTCCCTGTAAGTAACGAAGACACTACCCAACACCTGCCACCCGGAACAACTCTAACATTCACAAATTCAGTTTCCTCACTCTAAAAATCAGAAGCGTCAATCTTGGACACAAGACGTAGGGCAGCAGGAACATTACAGGCACGCAAAAACCTGAATTACCTCCCCGTCTGGCGGCGCGGTAGGGCGGGCAGGCAGGCATCCTTGGGCGAGGTTACCAACTATCAGTACCCAACATAAAATACGAGTTGAGGAAGTGCCAAGGCTGGTGGTGCTCGACGTGTACAACCAAACACTACATCTGCAACGTCAACCAAACGCTCCCCTCTTATCCATGACATACTATTCAAGTTTATGATCAACACACACACGCACTGTAAGATGAAGCTGTTCATTAATATCCAACATTAAATCAAGCTGCATGCAACTGTGAAATTTATTGAGGAACATTATGTTGAACAGTAAAGAACCTCGTTAAATTTTGATTTGTATTGTTTCAATTGTCTTAGTTTCAGTGCGCGTTATGCCAAAACATCTAGCTTGCATACATTGTTCAGTAATATAGTATTGTATACAAGCGTGTCATTTCCAGAGTAGTCACGTATAACCAACCACCAGTGCTCTGACGACGCAGTTCACCACCAAAGGTCAATGGAAAGTTCATGACCACTGTATCAGTGCACCGAATGACCCTGCATCTCATTTACTCCCTTCACGCACACACAACTGCACCTTGTCACACTCACTAACGCCACAACACTTAATACCACCATCTACCTTTACTAACATCACCACTTGCACCATACCTACCAGTGACGAAAATGATTTGCAAACCCATCCTTACCATCACACCAAGACTTTCACATTAAAACACTACCATCTGTCTAAGAGTATTTTATGGCCAGTACACACACAACTGTTTAGGAACAAGTCCTTTGAACAATGAGGGTGTTAAAGGAACCATCATCATCAATAAATCATCATCGACAGTACAAGACAATACCATCAGTACACCATCACAAAACCCATTACAACACAATTAGTACTACTACCGGCTTCCACCCTACCACTACCTTTCACCTTCACGTGCCGAGACAAAAACAGAGATGAGGGGGAGGAAGTGTTCAAAATACTTCCTCTGGTTCCGCCCTTGGTGGAGGCTTCTGACTGCTGTCGATGCTCTTCCTGGACAGCTGCCACGCGGTCAACTCCACTTCACGGTTCAGGGTCTGGGGGTTCACTGAGTATTTACTTTACCTCACTGGTACTAAATGAAGTTAACTTAGACCTTGTGCACACTTTATGGACGTTATATCTGTGCTATAGCTTAAGTCAACCAAACAACTGCTTATTACCACATCTCCACTTACGAGTGAGGTCCATCGTAAGAATCTGAAGGCTCGCTCCAGCAGGCGTGTGCACTTGTGGTAGACAATTCAGTGTTCAGGCCACATAACGGTATACAACCAAATTTAAGATAACACTGGCATTTTATGGTATACAATATCTGAATATTAATTACCCAACAGCAGCATCAAGCACGTACTGGGGCCCACAACAACAACTAGCTGATGCCTCAATAAGCCATCAGTCACGGTATGATGAACACAGGCTTAATGTTAGGGTTCTC